CAATCCGATGTCAGTTCTGGGAGCTTGCACGAAGATGATTTAGTGTCTATGAATAAGAAAAAAATTGCAGTTGAGACAACTATTCATTTCAATGGGAAGCTTTATGGGGTAGCTGCGCTTAGACAACGTAGTGATTTTACGAAATCACCAATTTGCTCAGTTTCGTGACTTCTCTCAGCAGATGCGCTCGTGTTTTACCAGTTGATTTAGTCAGCCATCACAGTACAACAGGTTATAGGCGCAGTTCTAGTACCTACGACAGGCATTTAATTGTAAATCAGTCTGATTTGGTATAAGTCATCTGCTTGTCGGAATTGAGAAAAAATTCATGAGCATGTCACATAAAATGATGAAAAGCTCAGATCAATCCTTGCTTAACCCTTTAGGGAGGGTAGTTGATCGATTGCACAGCGCAACTCGTATGAGGCACGCGATTTTCGTCCATCATTTATGGCTTTTCTTCCACCTGAAAGGTGAATCCTAGGCATTTTGTGTTACTCTGATACTCCATGATATTCTCTATATGGTCATACGTTTTCCGTGCAGTATAACTTTTGTGTACGGCAAAAACGCTAAGCGCGAAACGTAATTTCGTTCTCGCTTTTACAACGTACTAAGATACCCCTGGAAAAACCAATTACATTATGAAAATCCTCGAGATTTGTGTTATTTGTGTTATTGAATGTCTAATAACAGATTGGCGAAGAACCATAACAAGCTCCAGACGAGCAGATGAGGCATACTAAGTGTGAAACATAACTTTGCTTTCGCTGCTACAACGTAATGAAAGCCTTTCATTGAGATCAAACAGTTTGTAAACAGCAGAAATCTAAGCTTTCAGAATAAGCGAAAAGTTTTGTCCAGCAAGAAAGACCTCTAAACAATCGTGAACCTCAGCTATTACACGTCAACCCTTAAGGGTTATAGAACAATGCATTCTGCTTCATTTGTAAGACTGAAAAGATGGTTCGATTTATATAGGCACTCAACCTTGAAATGATTGTCGAAGACCAGATCATGATTCTTCTCATACGAAATTTACATAGAAAAAAGCAGTCCAAGTATTACCGTAATAGTGTAGGATCGGTAGATGAAATTTGATAGAACTGAATAGATCAGGTTTTTGAGTCATTAAGACCTTTGAAGTGGTCGCCGAACATAGAGACTTTCATCAAAGGGTTTGCATAGGAAGAATTACATATAATGATGAAAAAAAAGGTTTATCTTATTAGGGACCGTAGCGGAGCTCTGAGATGCAATGGTTGCTCTGGATCGTCATTGATTTGATGCAGCCGCGACATAAGCGATCCAGATGTGAAAGTCCTTTTTCCAATTAATGCCAGACTTTCTCAGGAGAACATTAGCAGTTAAAACAATGATTCAATTCGGCAGCGAACCATCTCAAGTCATTATGCAGATCGCATTTGCATTTCTTCAAGTCTACAAGCACTACGGAATAGAACGCATGGCGTATCCCTGCAAAATAAATCATCCAAACACCCTACTTCTATCTACCATTGTTATCAATCACCTTCACTGCCGTGCTCATTAGCATTTTCACTATTCTAGTCTCCTTTTTCACACGACTACGATATGATAATGAGAGAGTGCTGATGGAAAAACGATGCCATCTGTCCAACTATCGACCGAAGATGCGAGATCTTCATATCCACGAGATTGCACCGGATTGTTTGCTCAGGCTTACTGAAAGAAAAGCTCATTCCAATGGCTGCAATTCAATCGCAGCACAACTTGCAGCATAGTGGCCAATCGTTGGTAATTAGTTGCTTACGGAATCTTGGAGAACATCAGAGTTGATTAGAGGGACACAAAACACAGAGCAGTTTGTTATTTTACAAAATGTTCAAAGAAGTAAATTGTAGATTCTCCTTAGCGACATTAGGTAAGAATCTCCGTTATGTACCTCAATATGTTGAGGACAAATCTTACTTCTACGCCCAAAATCATCTGGATCGGGAAAACTAAGCTAAGACAACTACTTGAGTACAGCAGTCACAAATATAGATATCTATAAACAACATCAATAGCATAAAACGATTGCCAGTATTTCTCTTGATTATTTGAGAAATGTTGTTTTTCATGTTCGTTGACTTCGTAATATCTCCTCTAAACAACCGTGCTAAGTGATAGGGCTTTGGTTTCAGAAAACTGGCCAAAAGCGGAAAGGATTTCGAAAAAAAACTGCATGGAATGAAATCCGAGCTGCAACAAAGAAGAAAATCGGGCATGACTTGCAAGGATTCAAAATCATCGAATAATATATCGTATCACAAAGCACAGAACAAGATTTGTAACGCTTTTTTTTTTGCACCACGAAGAAGATTTCCCCCAAAATATACGAGAATATCGCCGTCTGAACTTCACTGGCACTTGAGTTTAGTAATAGTTATTTTTGCCGACTGCAAAAGTGCCTGAAAAGCTCCGCTGATGAGAAAAACGAACAAAAGAAAAAACCAGGAAGGCCTCTGGTAGTTCTTATGACGTTTTTCGAGCTTCTTGTTGCACTAGCGTCATTACAGATGTAATTAGGTGATCTGGTCTCTAGTCGCCGTCCATAAAGGACAAATGTTTGAAAGCCTTCTTTGACAAAAACGAACAAACAAGAGCGGAAAGACTTTTCTGACACATTGTTTTCCACTTTTCTCGAACTTGTTAAGTCTCAGCACGACTATGATAACATTTCAACTTGATTTATTGAGTACGGGAAGCAGAAAATCGACAGAAAACTAAAGAAAAATAGCAAAACAACAGACGCTGAAGGAACTCTTGTGATTCGATGAACATCTATTCGAAGATTGCTCTTGAATTTTGAGTTGTGAGTAACAAGGGCTCTCACTCAGAATGCTAAGCAAGCTGAAAAAAACAGGAAAAGCTGCTTGTCACTTCCTCTGATCGGATTTCTTGGATGGAAAATTTTCAGACTGATTCTTTTTGAGTTCTTCCATTTTCTAAGTCACCCATTGACCTTTTCAGGAGCCGACGTTCTAGTAACACGAAGCCGTGCTTCATTCGAGTTCTTCTTATTAAGTTAACTACCTGTGGGTGCGAAGGAAAGCACAATATAGACTGGCAGTTCAACTACGCCCGTCATGACAGGAATGTTGTAAAGGAAAAGCGTGCTAACACCTTTATAAACGAAACTGAAGAACAGAAGGTCATAAATGAAGGAACTTTTCAGGACGGAAAAACGAAAATCAAGAAAGAAAAGATATTGAGAGCAGTAGAAAAATAAAAACAAGTTCTAGATGGATGAAGCATTAGTATCATTTCGCCTCAAATTAGAAGCAAAGTAATTCACTGGGAAAACAAACAAAGGATCTCCTCAGTAATTTCTTGTTTATTTTATGCTGATGAGAAACCTTCCAAGTGAAATTCATTGATGCATTTATGAAAACGCACCAACATAGACGTCACGTGCGCTCTTAATGTAAATTATATTTCTACGAAGAAGTAGAGAGCATCCATAGCTTATATATATATATATATATATATATATATATATATATATATATACTCATAAAAATATGCATATGCAAACCATGCTCTTTGTACACACACACGCGTACACATGCACACCCTGTACACATACACATACACACAGTGTGGTAAAGCAAACCCGAACCAATACCTAGAGAATTAGATAGAATTGTTTTCAAATAAACCCACGTTTCCAAGCGGAGGTTTGTAATATTCAACTCCACATTCCCAAAATCCCTCGGCAAAGAAAGCAAAAAATAGTCAATTTTTAGATCCACGTTTTGGAAAGGTTTTTGCCTGCCATAAAGATAACTAAGAATTGTCAGTATATGTATTTGTTAGCTATAGGACAAGATTATTAGGCGTATTATGCATATAAAAAGCTAAAGCTTTTGGCCAAAATTAATAATGATTAGTGAGAAATGGTTACAAAGATGACCCCATTTGGTCATAACTATGTAATTCAAATGACAAGACCAGAAATAGCTCATTTTTTCCAATTTCATCCTAAAATGACAGCTTTTTGGACCGCTCCATCGCTTCGACAATAGATGCTTTTTATTTCGTAATATATTCGAATCCTTTGAACCCATTGAGAACAACATCGTCCAACGGATATAGTCGAAACCTGATTTTTTGGAACATCCAAAATTAACGTCAGATCGCAAATCGTCCAAAAATTTGTGTACGTTATTACGTCTTACACGTCGAGACACAATCTCGCCTTTTCATCTACTTCCGTGTTCGAAAGAGGAGCGTTGACGCAAAAGAAACTAAAGACAAATATTGCGTGGGTGCTTAATAAATCAGAGTTTCATCCTGAAAAAACTTAACAATCAGCACTTCTTGGGTAGAGGTACTATAAGTCGAAACATTCTAACTCAAATTCGAAAGTGGCTCCTATTTTCTCACCAGATGCATTCATTCCAATGCGTACGCACTATGCACTCAATTCATCTGACGTTGAGTTTATCAACTATAAAAGACAACTATAAAAATCACAACCTAACCCCAGCAATGGTGAATCCTTTATCCAATAAAGCGACAAAAAATGATTCACTGTGTTTTTGGCCTAGAATTGGTTGTCCTATATTTAACAAGGCTAATCTTATCCCATAAGTGCATGTAAAGTTTCCTGTTCTACAAATTCATAGCAACCGTGATTGCTAAAAAACCAAAGGTCACTCTCAAAACAAAACTCTCTGGAAGCTGTCCTCAGCCTGAGGCATTCGTTGCCCACGATTCATCATATTATCGAGGAATAACATAATTATTGGCCAATTATGCCGCTTACAACTGATGTGCTTCAAGAGAATAAAATATTTCTTTGTAAAATTAGAAGATACCACTTTCAAGATGAGCATCTCTTATTTCGTTCGCAAAAATAGCAAAAAGGCTATCTAAGCAAAAACGATCAACAATAACAAAATCTCTTAGGAATTTTCGCAGTACAGCAATTTTCTCAATATGCGCTTTAGCGTGGAAAGAGTGGTGAGAAAACAAGCGTCGATAGTTCAATCGTTTACGAACGTATCCCTTGAAGGGGTGAAATGCGGGTTCGAGCCCCGACTGGCGTCAAAATTTTGCACATCACTCAACATCATTGGGTATATTTGTGACATCACACTATCGCTAAAAAGCGGTTGAATAGAAAAGGAATTTTTTCGATAACATATAACACTCTTGTTCACCAAAGAAAAAGTGCTACACACTGTAAAGTGCTCCTAAAGTGTAACGTTTGAGTGCCTTTGAATCTGGTGCTTTTCACACCAATGTGACTAGCAAATGTCGCTCTGCTAGAGAATTACGTGAGATTTACCAGGTATTTATCAAATCCCACAGGAACAAATGTGAGTGAAGAAAAGCTATTTGTGGCAAGCTGTTTTCCTTTCTGTAAACACAATCTGCACTTGATAGTTTATTTGATAAGTCCACACGAAGATAATAAATCAACGCCTTCCTAAATGAGGGAAGGAGCTCTTCAATCACCTGAATCCATCACTCCGGCCCGTTGAATAAAGAACGTGGTCGTGACTTCTGCATGCTCCATTTGGGATCAGAGTGCATCAAATTTCTTCTTCGATTATCAGACGTAAGATCTTTCACTCATGGAGGAGTTCGTAAATTTGTGGTGAGCCTACATAGTCAACACTCACTTCGAACTATTTCACATCGAGATTTGCTAGAATTCTCCGCAGGGAGAATATACATTGATGGTGAGATTAAACCCTTCGGATACACTTAACAATATGCCGTGACGATGTTAAGGATCCAAAAATCAGATAAGTGATATGGAGCAGAAAATGGATCGCATAACAGGATAGAGCAATCAAAGCAGACTACTTCTTCTGGGAAGCGTTATGCATATGACTCGATTTGAAACATCATAGAGATAATTGAATGTGTATCTGGCATTTCAATAGATAGCAAGGATTCAGCAATGTATCAAACCAGCGCTCTTTTTCTTTCAAACTAACCTGGTTGGTGACCGTGTGAAGATGGAGCAACTGACTTGTTCAGTGTTTGCGATCGTACATGTTTGTTCTATACCTATTCCAGGCGCCCACTGCATTACATGTGCCCCTTCTTTCAGGATAGTAGTTTGATTGGAAGACATAACATCATTTTACAGCAATCTGATCATTGACGGCTCAATTGCACCTGAACTGTTCGCGATGAAAATGTTGTGAATATCATAAGCTTCCCCTCTCTCAGAACAAAACTCTATAATTTAATCTGTAGAGTTCAGTCCTGGACATATTACGGTATTGCAGTAATATTACTACATTTACATAGTAAAAAGGAGCTACCACGACCAAAATATAAAACGAAAATTTATTACGTATTCTTCAGGATTGCTTTTGTTTCTCTGCGATTTTCACAGTCTTATGATGTTTCAAATATACAACCTATGAGAACTGAGTGGTATACTCGACTTCAGACGGCAGTTGAACTCGTGTTTCATCAATACCGAGGACGAGTGATTCTTACCGACACATGAAGCATGAAACGAATCCGCCACCGTATTCACGATCACAATACGCCCGCGTCCTCCTGTGAATCATCGAATTATTCGACTAGGCACCAATCATGTTACCCATCTCTTGCTGGTCTCTCAAGAGCATAGAGCAATTTGCCCGCTTGAACGATACCAAGGAGACTGTACTTCAGCAGAAGAATATGGCGCTAGCATATATGCGTTATTTAGATATTGATCAATGTGTACCTCTTCCAAAGATAAGTAACATAAGATTAAGTAAAACGTTCATCTCATTTCGGCTTCGAGGTCTCCGCCTTATTAAGAGCGGCGATAATTCGCATAATACGGATATTGGTCGTTTTTCTAGAAAACACATGAGAATGTTTTTTCAAAATTTATGGAAAAGTTCCCGACCAACAACATCTGGGAAACACACTTCTCACGTGATGCTACCTTTCTTGTCGATAGACAAAGTTCAGTATGAGTTATATTTATTTTGTTCAACAAAATTGCCTTACATATAGCTGACATCACTGAGTTGATGAAGAGTTTCCCCAGAAGAAGATGTTAATGCGAATTAGAAGTGACCCATCTACCCCAAAAGTCGATTCAGATGGTGACTATTTCCCTGAGGAATCAAAATTCCAATAGAGAAAAACGCAAATAATTTTTTTCGTAAATCAGACTTTATCCAAAAACAAATAATAAAAAAAGCGCACGCTTATCAAACTAACTTTTTACCAATAAAAAACTTCTCAAAACATTCTGTCTGAGAAATAGGTTTGCACACAATTGTCACTTGTCATCACCAATCTCATTGGATGACAAGAGCTCTGAACAGGCACTATCAGATCAGTGACACTTGTTGCATTCAAACGATCTCAGTGGACTTCATTGTCTCAGAAGAAGCTATTCTTAAATTTACCCGGCGGGAACCAAAATCCGAATGGCCTCGACTTTTGGACGCTCAATTTGATCTATCCGAAAGCGCCTGCAACTTAAAGTGGTATCGAAAACCGTATAATAAAAAACATGATGGTTCACTACCTTTCATCTCAATCTCTAGACAAACACGAGTTCGTGAAAAACCTATTTCAAACAATTTCCAGAGTGTGCACAGGAAAACAGCCTAAGAAGGAATCCGCAAACTTGGAGTCAAAAAGTCATTTCTAACGTTTAAGATACGGTGGCTGCTTTTCAAATTAGACTTACAGGAAAAATGACGTCATGAAATATAAGTCGAGTAAAAATATATTAAGATCCGCTATCCTGCCCTTTTTTTGAGGAAGCAAGCACAGCTATAGAATCTTGGTCAAAATGGTCCGCTTAAGATAAGACGGTACCAGTTATTCGAATATCACCAAACACTCTAAGACGCCATCTAGCTTGTAACCGTTTCTGTAAACACGAATACGAAACGAAAAACTGTGTAATTTGCTCTAACGGAAGAGATGGAGATCGAATGAGTTTTGTGATACGTTGTACATATTCTCTTTTAATGCATCGACCGACGACTACATTTACGAAACACTGAGTCGTTTGAAAGAGCATTTACTTAGAAAAGTTGCAGTGGAACATGATACCCCTTGAAGATGCACAGAGCACGAAAACAACAGAGAAAATTTTGGTGCAAAGTCTTTATCCTCGCACAGGAATCTGAAGCATCTGCACGATGAGCTCTCAAAGTTTTCTAGATGAATGTCAGAGATCCAAAGATGACCTACAAGCTGGAGATTCCGCCATCACGTGTGACCTCGTACCATACTTTGGGCTAGCTTTTTGAGTTAGACTTGACGCACTCCGACCTTATGCAGTCTGAGTACAGCCAGTCTTCATTGAGTATTAGAGGTCACAAATAATAAAGTGGTGAGTGTTTCAAAAAGAAGCCGCTTAATGTGTTAAGCAACTCTATTTATGCTCCTTAGCTAAAGCTGTGAAAGCAATTGATGAGATGATTGCGAGCTGATTCGATCTCTTCAGTTCCCAAAGATCGTCACAGCCAGGCTATGTTAGAGATTGCAAGGAGACTTGCTCAGCCAGTATTCTATGATGTCCAAGAAGAAGACGTAAAGACGAATTGAATGCTAGAAGTGCTGGGATGCGCACAGTGAAGATAAACGCTGTGATTACAGATCACTAAAATGGTAAAAAGGTTTCAAAGAATACGAAATTGCCGGGATATCACTTACCGCTATTGCATTATGCTGTTTTCGAAAAAATTAATTGTCAATCATCTAGTGACTCCTCATTGAGAATACAAATAATTACCAGAAATCGATGGTCATTGTAGGGAAATGCATCAATAATATTAGTGATAGCAATAATTATCAAAACCCCATATTATACTGGTCTAAAACCTAGTTCAATGTGCCATACTAGAACTCTGAAAGGCTTAAAATATGCTGTCAGATTATATTAGTTTCAAGCTAGGCCTCGAAAACAGTCAAATAGAATGTTGCTGCTATGTGAGTTTTCCCAGTCATGAGCAATCGACTGTAAACCACCTTAAAGTCAAGTGGTCTTTCCACTTAACGTAAGTGAAACGTCTTCGGCGCCACTACCCTTAGCTTTGAAGGAACGGTTAAACCGAAAGGTATGAGGATAAGGCTTGGCAAAAAAAGTCGAATTACACTTTTAGCACTAGAAGTGCCAGGTTCACCATGCCTTTTATCCCTTCCAGGTCGGCAAATTGATACCGGACACGTCTAACAGGATAGCAAGAGTTAGTTGTTTCGATGGTATGCCAATCTACGCAAGTTTCAAGCTTCAACAATGCTTGATGAAATCGAATACCTAAGCATTTTTCAGAGAGTAATCAACGCTCAGATCTTTATCCTTATATCCTTATTATATTGATCAATTACAAAACAAGCGAGACATAGAAATACACGCAGAAGCACCACTGATAGCTGGTGGTTCGACCTTACGACCTTACGGCCTAAAGGGAAAGCTTCTTAACCTTTATCGTAGACTCCACTAATAATGAAAAATTAGCAGAACTCTACTTGATTCACAATTACCTGCGTTGCTTAATTTCGTAACGTTCTAATAAGAGTATCATAGCATAAGAGCGCATGTGGCGCTGTGGTTAAAGTTGCCATGCGTCGCACACTACGTCAATGGTTTGATCTCGCGCTCACGGCTCACCAAGCCAGCCATCCCTACGGGGTCGGTAGATTGGTACCAGACTGGTCTTAGACTTGTCTGGGAGGATAAGCAGCACTGACTCGGTTGAACTGGAGTTCACCGCGAGTCATTGTAAGTGCCAGATAAGCATCAGGAATTGATCACCGCCGAGAGCTTTATCCTTTTTAATCCCTTTATTATAGGGTATAAGAAGCAACTCGATCATTAATCGGTTTTATTTGAGAGTAATACAGAATTCTCCACATGGAACCGATATCACACTCTGAACCATAGACGTTTACGATGAAAAATCAAGAGAACGAATCCAAAAGGAACAGGAATCCGCACAGTAAGTGATGCCGATTGGCATGAAGAAATTAGCATAAATACTACGAATGATATTCTCCTAGTAGTTGTGCAGGCAATTATCAGCGTGACATTTTCATTCTAAACGTAAACACACTAGGTAAAA